CCTGGTTGGGTTTCACCAGCAGTGCGGATCCACCGACCCAACTGGGGATCTAACCCGGGACCACACTGGCAGGTTGTGCTATAACGTGAAAATTCCCGATGGCCGAGTGGGTAGTACGCTTGCGTTCTGCCCGTGAAGTCGCGGGTTCGATCCCAAGTTGGGTTGATGTATTCGCTTTGCTGATGAGACCCAACCAGGTCGAAACAGCTGTCCAGTGCCTCCTAGCTTTTCAGTTCACGTTTCATTTCCCCCATACACGATAAATTCTTCAAATGAAACTGAATTAAAACTTCAAATGAGGAGTCAAGAATGAAATGCCCACATTGCAGATCATCTATTATTTTGAGATTCTGATATCGAAAACGAAACTGGTTCCCTGTAACAATGCGAAAAAAATTCAAGTTCGTACTTCATAAAAAAATATATTTTAGGACACCATTTTCGTTGCCCTATTCATTGTTTGGGTACTTATTGTAGAAGTATAAAGACAGACAAAAACAAACTGCAATTCTGACTCATTTTTTGGCCTTATTATATCTATTTTCTAGATGGAATTTCGCTTGTTTTGCATTAGTATTTTCCATAATTTTTGCTAATGAAAATTTAACTCAGTCAACATAAGTTGCAAAATTAGAACCATTATTAGATTTGTGATTTTAAAATAATTTAATATGATGTGAAATATGCTATCTATTTGTACTTTCTCGTGCGGCTGGCAGTCTCTTCCAGATATTTTAATTTGTGTTCGATTTCCGGTTCTCATATTGACTAGAATCTAATCCCACGAGCTTTTCCGTTGAATATCCCGAAAGATCAATCAAGTGTTCGATCCTTTTGGAAATCAGATATGAATGCAATTTGAACGATGCAATTGGTGGCAGTATGTGAAATAAACTGACCACTTTTTGTGTCCGATCGTAAGCTTTTACTGGTTTGTGAACGTTTTGTTCGTAAATTTTGAGTCGATTATAATGAATATGATAATATAATGAATAATGAAAATGAGTATTCACAATTGCAGCTACCATTATCCCAGTATGTGAGTGGTTAATCGATAAACCACTCAATGGAAATTGTACTCTCGAAAAGAAGGTCATCGATGCTAGGTCTACAGGATACGCCATGCACGCAATGTTGCTCGGTGTTGCCCGGTGCAAATGCATTGGGCAAATAAGTTAGTCCAATAACGGAAATCAACGCGACAACCCAATCGTCTCATTTCTTGTTGCCCCATTTGGTCGGTCCTTACTAATGAATATGGCCAGTCATAGTCAAGCCTATCACGAAGCCGTGATAAACAGTCTCAATCGACCAATCAAAATGCTTCGTGGGGAACAAAATTAACCTCTTCCCTTGCCCGCTGTCACACTTTCCTTCACCTCCACCCACTGCCACGTCCGCCATTCATCTCACGCTCACTCGGCTGACATTCCTGTGTAAAGCGTCCACCTCCCCTCCCGCCCGTTCTGTTCAACCCGCGCAGGGAACCAATGTCCTGTTTCCGCGGACTAGCCACGGAGCGAATGGAACGGGGAACAGATTTAATGGTTGGGACTCATTATCCGATTGGAGATGATGATACCAGTTGAGGAATTATTACAACCCAGCGGCTGACTGTTATCTGACCAACCAGTACACACCGTGAATTGGTTCTATTCGTTTCAGTTCTGTTGCCGCATATCGTGATTCAAATCGGACGCTCATGAATCCGACGAATTTGAGCACACATTGTGACCTGTTCAACTTGGAGACCATAAAGGATCTTACGACCGGTACAAGTAAGTTTGCTTCATAGATGAAAATACTGCGTACCGTCTATTCTTTTTTCTTTTTCTCTAAATCATTTTTATTGAATGCGCAACTGCACAAGTAATTTCGATGGATTCCGAATTGGCCCCGGTGAAATATACGAACTTTGGGGCTATATTGTGGTGAATTGCGTGCCTTGATCGACTTTGATCATGCGCTACTTGGTTGATATTCCAAATTCCGACTTAATTTTTGCGTTGCGTCGTCCCATTAGACCATCAGCACACATTATGAACAGAACAAAATGTAGCAAACAAGACTTGTCTTCAATGATTCATCTTCTTCGGCTCATACATCATAATTTATGTAACTCGGGCAAAAATCTGAAGGGCGGTGATGGTGACGTATAAAATAAAATTGACTTGAAAAATATAAATATTATTCACTATTTCCCTTATAGTAACTTGTCCAGATGTCATGAAGATTGTGACGCAGAGTGAAAATCGGTGGGCGGAGGGTCATCGAGGTCAACGCTTTTATAAACTGTATTACAATACAATATAATACAATACAATTTTTGCCCACAAGAAGTGGGAAAGGAGGTATGAATGCGAATTCTTATTGTTCCCAGTGTAAACTGCATAAGATGTTTAATCCAATTGGGTTCCTCCTCGCAAAAGACGTTGNATGTGCACATAATAGTTAAGCTGTTTTGTCGAAATATTTTGCACAGGAGTCTACTACACCTTTCCAATTTAAGATATCTGGTGGCAATTCAGGATGTCCTGGTGTTGTGTGATTAGTAACTTATTGCCGGGACAAATCAAAATGTACGTTTTACGGTTGAACGTGTTATGAAAGTGTAGTAACCATCGGCGGTCTGTGTTCAGTCGAACTTGATTTATCATTCTTGAATCAATAGTTGTGCATTAAGAAAAATTTGCGTTTCAGTGTAAAACCGACTTCCATTCCATGTAAAATGCACTTAAATATACCACTGATTCACGGAACTCAGAGAGATAAATTTCTTGTATGTCGATTGTAAAAAGTTCAGTAGCCTCGGTGGG